CATCCACCATCCATCCATCCATCCATCCACCATCCACCATCCATCCATCCACCATCCATCCATCCATCCATCCATCCATCCACCATCCATCCATCCATCCATCCATCCATCCATCCATCCATCCATCCATCCATCCATCCATCCATCCATCCATCCATCCACCATCCATCCATCCATCCATCCATCCATCCATCCATCCTGTGTCCAGAAGAAGCTTATTGTATTTGTTTTATTAGAATGTTGATCCATATCTAATAAGCATGAATGAATATTGAAGCAAAGACAGATGGTAAATATATTTATTTCTTTTTTTCTGCCTCAGCTCTTTCTTCTGACAGACCAGAGTGCTGCTTTCTAAAAATTCCCCAGCTCCATTCTGCCAGAGAAAACGACACCCAGATTCTTCCACTGCTGTATTTTCAAATCACATCAAATGAGATTTGATCCATTCCTCCATCCTGAACTCAAGCGACCTATCTTTCTTTTTTCTTTTTTCACCCCGTCTGGCTGCATTACCTTTTTATTCTTCCTGCCCATCTTCCTTCTCTATGACTAAACATGTCTGAGCTAGCTCTAATTTTACAAACATAAATTAGATTTTCCTCTGAAAAGCACCTCTCCAGTCTCCGTTCTTCCTCCTGCTCCATTTCCTGGTCCTCCAGCAGTAATCTGGCCTGTCTTTATGTCCCCTACCACTCGGCCTCTTTGGGTAGCACCGATCTGCTCTCGCTCTCCGTGGTTCTCTTCTCTCCCGCTTATGCTAATGATGTTCCTGTACTGAGAGAGGAAGCTGCTTACCCATTCACGTCAGGACCCAACACGTTCATGTATGCATAAACAAACAGGCAAACACTCACACATACTTTATCCTGTCTCTCTGCCAGTGCATATCCCACCAGAGCAGCTTCCCATCCTGACATCCAGGGAGCTTTGTTGCCTTTGTCTTTTCAGTACACCTTTTTCTATTTATTCATTCTTCCGATGCTATTATTACCATCAAACAAGCAAAATACTGCATGGAAAATACTTCTTTAGTTCCTTCCTTTC